GGCAAAGTAAAATCATCAGACCAAGAGTCAATAAGAGGTGCGTCGTGACCGGTTCAGCCGAATGGAAGGAAAATCTGACAGTGTTTTCCCTTTCAGTCTCATTAGGGTTCTTCGATGACATCTATATACCAGCCATATACCTTCCCCAACCTTGTGCCTTGTCAGTCTCTTTCAACCTCCACCCCAGAAGTCTTATTGATGCCCTCCAACTTGTAGCGACCCAAACGAACGGTCGTTCTTCTGGCTTCCAGACTCCGACCTCACTACGACCCACGAAATGCTCGATACTCCGGTTGCAGAACGGATGTACATCGACCAAGGGGAGGTCATACGCGTCCGTGTCGAGTCTGATGAATTTTATGACGACGAACCGGGCCCTCCCAAAGCTCAAGATGGTGTCCCGGTCGATATACAGAGGCGAAGGGCGCCATTCAGCATCGTAGTGAGTTTTCCCCCCAGAAATCACGGAGGTGCTACACATTGGCTGATATCTCGCTTAGTGCTCTATCGCTGAACAGGGATTAGGACCGACAGCATGGTGGGGGGGACAACAAGGAGAAGACGCTGTAATGGAAGCAGAAATGGAGGAGCAATGAAGAACGGCGCAGCATGTCGATCCAAAAGTAAAGTATGTATCATCATATCGAGGCTTTTTCAGACCGAAGATTACAAGTCATGGCTTACATATTGAGGGTTCTTTGAGGGTCCAAAAGTCGACCAAAACCGCTGCAGTCTCGGGGGGCTCTGCAAGACCGTCGTCTCCACGGTTCAAGAATTATGAGGACACAGAAACAACATCCTCGGGCGTAATATCCAGGAGAAAGTCGCGCCCAGCGAACATCCAATGTTCAACGTTTAACCGCAATCATCTTCGCCCGCTCGAGCTTGGAAACACGCTCAGTGGTATTGCGGTCAAACTCCGAGATGATCTTGGGAGCACGACATGAAGCATGGAAAGGAACATTGATGGATGCTTGAGATGCTGTCATTGACCTTCGAGTCTATGTCAACTTATGCCGACGAAGCGCCCTGAGTATCAATCTGAGTCACAGTACATGCATCGACAGCCCCAGTAATTGCCCGTGTATCATTGGCTGGGGAGCCAGGCCCCCCTGCGATGAAGTCTTTCGCGTCACCTGTGGGTGTGGACCATCGGCGGGATCAGACCAATAACCGTGTTCCCTGTGCGTCCAGTCAATTCATTTGCAATTGTGTGTTCAGTTCCTATTGACCCTTTCCTCATAGGATTTCTGAGGCACTCACCGTGAACCTATGACCAAAAGCGTAGACTGATGGACTACATCGCGCCCAGGTTGTAGGACGCATGGAAGGGAACAACTATGAAGGACAAGGATCTCGTCTGGCATACATTGAGCATAGATCTACTAGATCTACTAGCATTTACCCCAATCTCTCTGGGGTATCGTCGGTCGCGTGAGCTAGTCTGACCTCAAATAGACTCTTCGCTCACTTGTTGACACTTGTAATAGGCACTGCACTCGTCCCCTTGGGGCCGAGCAGATGGGCATCAATCTAGTCTGGATCCTAGGCATTCCTCTGGTGTCCAGCTTCAACAAGGTTGAGAGATGAACGGCAGTATCGTTCCTCGTACCCATCGCCCGCGTAGGGATCGCATTTCCGATCGTCGTAGATTCTCAGATGGCTTGGGTACGGAGAACAAAATCGAAATATGTGAGTAACAAGCTTTGTTTCCTCCTTCGCGACACCCAGGGTTACTCGAGTCTGCTCCTCTTCCGTCCGGCTCGGCACAAACTACCTTTTTGGTAGGGCTATTCGGGTTGCCTTCCCACAAACCTCACTGTGACAAACTTTTTGCGTTTGCACGTCGTAACCTTCCACAATTTTGGCCCTTTGACCTCTCGGACGCCTCTGTGTAGATGCTTGGTTATCTGCTATCCTCCAGGTGGATTGTGGGACTTGGTAAGCGCTCTTAGGTTTCTGGTGTGTCGCATGATAGATTACCATCAATCTGACTGGCCCTCATCGTAGTCCGTCGATATCTTTTCCCGGTTAAGCCTCATCATGCATCCGTTTGGCAGATATATTGAAGGTAATGGCGGAAGCACTGCGTGAGCGCTTGCGCCTCGTTAAACAGACAAGGGCCGCCATCCAACGCGGGGAGAGATTTCAATCAGATCCTGATGGACCCACGTAGATTATACCGCGGTACTGGACGAGGTTGGGCATACGCTATGGATGCCGGGCCGGGCTGTCGTCCTCAATCATAATGTCAACCTTCCAGAACCCAGCTTGGCATGGCAGATGCTCGGGTACCGAACGATGGCCAATCGCAATCGACAGCCACCTTGCAGACATAGCGCCTCCTGGTTGCAGGTAAAGGTGGATACACAAGTCGCACGGAGTGAAGCAGGTCATTATTAAAAACCGGCTCTACCTTCGACACTACTGGTGACGCTACTTCGCGCTGGGCGGGGCGTCGCTCGCCCTCGAATGATGGAACGTGCCGTATTGCCTACTTCGTACTCAGGCCGCGGTCTTTCGCCTTCTTGTACGGCCTGACCCGGTTGTAAGACTGATAGCCCCGAGTGGCGAACATGGCAATTATGCGGACTGCGGGAGGCTCTCATTGCCTTGTTCCCAGCACGCAATGTCGACACCCGGTGGATGATAGTTGAAATGTCGGACAGTGGTGTGGCTAACGTTCCGATCCTCCAGCGTACACATCGCCCGGCCAACAATCGACTGAATTTGTTCGTGTTCGAAGGTCAGACAGCTGTACGTTTCCTTGGATTTGCAAGCCCCTACTCAGGTTATCTACCCTGACGGATACTCCAGGAGTACAAAAAGCTGGGGGCTAGATTGAGCTAGAGTATCGAAGCACCCCTCCTACATTCCACACTCAGCTTCCAGACCTATCCAGCCAAAGTCTTCTCGACACTGACAACGATGTCAGAAATCTTCGATCTCTTCAGCTCGCTGAAGACAGTCGTGTTCGCTTCGGCCCTCGCGACAGTCTTTGTCTACTTCCAAACCTTGAAGGAATACGTCTTTGGCAGGAAGCTCACGGATAGCGCTGGAAATGGAATTCCTCCTGGCCCCGTCGGTCTCCCCATCGTCGGTGGGTTTTTTGCCACATTCGAAGTTCAGATTTTTGGGAACTGATATATTCGTCCAGGCTCTCACCCGTTCCTTACCCACTTCCCGGAACTCACCTTGGACCACTGGGCCAAGCGCTATGGTCCCATGTACTCCGTGTGGCTCGGAAACCAGCTCTTCCTCATGATTTCGGACCCTCAGATTGTCAAGGTGGGTGATAGCTGTATTCAACTGCGAGTCTCGCAATGCTTATGTCGACTTGCTAGGACCTTATGGTCACCAACGGTGCCGTCTTCTCTTCCCGTAAGGAGATGTTCTTGAAGTCCAAGAAGATCTTCGTTGGACGCGGTATCACTGCCACTGTAAGTCTAATCTAATCACTGATCGCAAGTATCAATTCAAGGGGTAACTGATTTTGATCTACCTCTAGCCCTACAACGACAGATGGAGGAAGCACCGCCGTATTGCCTCGACTTCCCTCGTCGCTCGTTCCGTCGATGCATACACCCACGTTCTCGACTACGAAGCCACCATTCTCGTCAAGGACATCTTGCAACACACCAACAACGGCGCCCTCCCCATCAACCCTCGTAAGTGACTTTTGTCGCCCTCCTGCAAACCGGCGTCTTACCATCGACCTTGAGAACCCCACGCTGGACGATGCAGTCTCAACAACATGCTGACTGTCGCCTTTGGCATGCGTACCGAGTCTATCGATGATCCCTTGGTCGCTAAAGCTCTCAAGCTCTCCCGAGAATTCATGAACTGTACTGGCCCCGTCTCCAACTTGACCGACTTCGTCCCTATCCTCCAGAAACTCGGCGACTGGAACTACATGATCAAGCGTGGTGAACAGCTCAACAAGGATCTCGTTGAGACCTACGGTGGAATGATCCTCGCGATGGAGAAGCGCATGAAGGCTGGCGAGAAGGTCCCGGACTGCTTGGTCAAGCACCTCATCGAGATTCAGGAGGAAGAAGAGCTCGACCACCTCGATATGGCTATCATGATTTCCGCTTTCATGATCGGTGGTGTTGAGACTGTGAGTGATCTCTCCCGGGCCTTTTCTCCTGTGTGTCTCATGTCCTTTGCAGACCGCATCTATCATGCAATGGTTCTCTGCTTTGATCCCGTCCTACCCCGACATCCAGAAGAAGGCTCAGGAGGAAGTCGACCGAGTCGTTGGCCGTGACCGTCTCCCAACTATCGAAGACGAGAAGAACCTTCCCTTCGTCCACGCCATCATCAAGGAAGTCGAGCGTTGCCACAACCCCTTCTGGCTCGGTACTCCTCACGTCAACTCTGCCGACTTCACCTACCGTGGCCAGTTCATCCCCAAGGACACCGTCGTCGTCTTGAACACCTACACCATGCACCACGACCCCGCCAGGCACCCCGAGCCCTTCAAGTTCAACCCAGAACGATACGTCAACGACTCTACCCTCGCCTCCGAATCCGCCAACCTTGCTAACCCATACGAGCGTGACCACTGGATGTTCGGTGTCGGGTAAGTGTGCCTCACCCACTCAGCCTGGGTTACTCGTTGCTAATTACACTTTTTAGCCGTCGTATCTGCCCCGGTATGTGGGTCGCTGAGCGTGAGATCTTCTTGGTCGTTGCCAGGCTTATCTGGGCCTTCAACCTGCAATCGCTCCCTAACGAGCCCATCGACTTGAAGGAGTACGATGGTCTCTCCGGTCGTTCCCCCGTTCCCTTCCGCATCTCGATGACTCCTCGTGACAGCAAGGTCACCGAAATCTTGGCCAAGGCATAAAGAGCTCACTGTAGCCACCGGATGGTTATGTGACTTTCCTCGAACCTAGATTAGTACCATAGCCAAATTCCTGCATATTGCATAATAGTGCTGAACTCAATAGATTCCGATGTTTAGTAACCTTCATTGACGAATTCTAAAAATACACGGGCAACTAGCGTAGTGGTTATCGCGTTCGCTTCGCATCTGAGAGCTATTTGGAATTCCAAGGCGCTTGCGAAAGGTCTCCGGTTCAAATCCGGAGTTGTCCATGGTCTACGATACTTGTGCATTTTTCTGCTAGAAGATGAGTGCACACCGATTCCTACTGCTGGCTTGCTTCGAAGTTCGAAGCTTTTCGGTGCCCTGGGCGAGTGAGTGCTTGAGCTGAGCGCTCGCCTGCTTGCACCCACCTGCACCTCTCCGCACCCGTCCTCGCGGTTTGTTGCCTACCTTGGATTGTATTCGAACTGCGGGGAAGCGGAATGGGACAGTTCAGAGTAGTTCTTTTTGAGTGATTGAAGGAGCGATCGTCAGTGGCGTGCATATTGAAAAGGCGCCAACCATATTCCACACATAAACACCCACAAGTCCGGGTCGATATGCAAATCAACCATCCTCATAGGGTCGTTCCATTCGGATTGAATCATTGAAAACTGAGCAAAACAATAACACTAGCATATTGTACAAGGTGCTGCATAGCTACTAGAACGATCTAGAATGAGTTCGGTATGAATACATGGAGGTAGGACAGGGAAGCGACCCCAGCGTCAGGGATTCTAAGATATCATAACACGGGGTATATGACTCTCGCAAAGGGCGATAAGGCATAAATTTGACGAAGACCAGCTCTCAGTGGGATTACAAGGGGCCGTCGTGATTATGGGATGCGGGGATCGCTGAGAAACAACTTGAAAGTAGAGAATGGAAAGGGGTGTGAAGGATCCCTTCCACGAAGTTCATCCTGATATTGAGCTCGTGAAATCGAATTGCTGCGCCTCATGGATCACTGATGCGACTGGCATCAAGACCGCCTGTTTCCTCCTTCGACGAGGTAAAGCACCGGCTCGTGGCTCGAGTGCTCCTTTAGCGTCACTGGTACACCATAAATGACCAGGATGAATCGATATGCTGAGGGTGTAGCCCCGCCGTTCCGTCAAAGACATTGGCCTGCCCTGTGTTTGAAGATTATGAGGAAGAGGAGGAAGGGGAGTCACTGCTCCCGATGGAATTGCATCTTTGAAGTATCCTTGCATAGTCAAAGAATTGGACGAGGCTGATGTGCACGACGATGAGGTTGAAGCGGTTGTGAAAGACGAGAATGAAACGTTAGAGAGCGTGGAAGAGGTCGAGGCTGACGATGCCAAGTACGACGAATCTTCAGGTGCCGACGCAGACATGTTCTTGCGAATTGATGATAGTCCTGCTCTTGTTTAAGTAAAGGATCGTTCACCGTCAGACCTTTTAGACATGAAAAAGGAGTAGGCAACCGCCGATGTCAATCAGTCTCACACGGAGTACACAGTCAATCGGGGTGTCTTTACCTCGACTGAAACGTGTGCCATTATTGTACGCATTGCATGTAGTCCTGGTGCAACAACCATACCAAGGTGCTAAAATAGGGCAGGAATACGCACAAACCCGAAAGCTATGATAATAGGTCAACCAGAGGGCCCGTTCGTGTCCTTTGTCGCTCCTTCATAAACTTCGGGTCCTTCAAGTTCGTTTCGTTTGTGTCAGTCGTGCCGGCGAACCTATTTGCTCCTTAGCGTGATTGGGGAGGCTCGGTATGCACCTGTCGAGTTTCGGGAATCTTCTGGAGGTGGTGGTGGTTCTGGGCCAAAGAACGATGATGACGCCGATGCTTCGAGAGGATAGGCGCCCGGTCTCTCTCACGCCAATCTCACCCTCGTCACTGTCGTCCATCCAACTCTCGTCGTCTTATCTTCGAGTTCTCGTTCACCTCTATCTGCCACGATGATGAGTGTGCATTGTGAGATACCTAGTCTCACGCAGCAACGTGCATATCTGCCATACGCCAACTCGATCTCTTTTACGCTCATTCCTGTTGGACCTCGTTGGACACAATGTTCAACCGCAACCGGGGTGGACCTTGGTCTTACCACCTGTGAGTCATGCTCGTCGCCCATCTTTGATTCTGAACGTCAAATTTCATTGTCGTCCCGTCCCCGGGTTCTTGGTCACCTCTGCGTTGTCCCCACAATGATAAGTGCGCACTGTCTGAAAATATTCGGACTCACGCCACGTGGCAATGTACAATCGCCTATCTGCCCTACACCATGGCCAACACGATTTCATTGTGATTGTGCTCATACAGTCACGGTCTCTGAATCATGATTGCGCGGCGCGCCCTCCAGTCCTTCCGTTAGACGCAATTTATTTCCTCGGCTCCGTTAACATTGGAAGCCTCGAGGCTCCACATTTCTCCAGCATACGGCAACTCTCTCAACCAACATCTCAGAACATCCTCCACAAACCATAAAACACAGCCCTTGGACTAAGCTCTCGCTGTCTCTCACTCTCCCGCCGCACTATAGTGTATGTAAGGTACACTACTCTCCTGAAGCTTGGTCTTTCCGCGTTGTAACCAAAGCAGGCCGACGATTACAATTAGTGACGATGGACGGGATGGATGACATTCTGGAGGTCCATTTCTGTCCATGGCGTCTCACTTTAATCAAGTTGCAACCCTGTTAAATGGGCACTGTACGCCATACGATGTGCGAGGATTGAAGGATGAGGATACTTGCAATGAAATGCGTGTACTTTTCTGGTTCCGCAGAAGCACGCATTGTCGAGTGGTGGAGGAAGGCTATCCACGAATCACTGAGTTGCGATGTAATGTTGTCCTCAGTGTCTAACGGTCTTTGCTTTTGGGGACCGGCATGACCTTGATTCCTTGTCTCTTGTTCTGTGACACCTTCACTAGCGGAAGCAGTCCCCAACGCTAGCGGGATGAGGCTCCACATCTGCGGCTTCAGTGCATCGGTTAGCACGGGAATACATCCCTTCGCAGTGTCTTTTTGAGAGGTATCGTTCGTATAAAAGGGAATCCACCAATGAACCCGTCCTCACTCTCAACCTATAACCTCATGGATCGTAGACATCTTTTGAAGAATCTCTTGTTCATCTGCGCTTTTCTCTCGTTCTTCTCTGAACACGCAAAGGCAGATTGTCCTCCAACCACACGGAGACACCTATCAGCTCGCGATGATGGCAATAGTACTCAGTCTTGGAATGAAACTTCCTGGGGAACGGTGTATTCACATTGAACCACCCGCGCGCACATTCCCCATACTGATATTATTCTTTCTTGATAGCTGCAGCCCTCGAAAGAGCTCCGATAGGTAAAATGCTACAGAGACGTCGGGGAGTTTGAATGTACTTGCCTTCAGGTATGCTGGGTAGCATGCCTGCACAACGTTGCGGTTCCTCTGACCCCTCATCAAACAGGTACCATTGAATTATCACGAACCCGAGGGTGAAACAGCTGCAATCGCCCTCACGCGTCTGGCTGCCAACGTGTCTTCAGATAGCCCAGACTATCGGGGTCCCGTCCTCTTCAACCCTGGAGGTCCAGGAGGTAGCGGTGTTGGGTTTGTTCGCGACTCGGCAGCAAGGCTCCGTGCTACTTTGGGACCTGAATACGACCTCATTGGGTTTGATCCTCGCGGTATGTAAACTATGGACGACCAGCATCTTGCCCCCTCTACTTACTCAGGTTCATGTTCTAGGTATACAATGTTCTACTCCTCGTATTGAGTTCTATGAAAGTCGTGTGGAGCGTGAGCTTAAACATAAGGCTATCGACGAACTCAACTCCACGGCAATGGATGTCGGACATTTTTGGGCCTCCACCAAGATTATGGGATCGCTTGCAGCTCAAAGGGACAAGAATGTGTTGGCTCACATGAACACCGACCACTCTGCCAGAGACATGCTTTCAATCGCTGAAGCGCACGGTAGAAAGAAAGTTCAGTTCTGGGGTTTTTCGTGCGTTTTCTCGAGTCCTGCCTGTTGAAGGTTACTGAAAGTAGAGCAAGGTACGGCTCTGTACTTGATTATACTTTCGCTTCTATGTTCCCGGTGAGTTCACTCCCCTAAACCGTCCCGTATGGAAGCTGGCTTATGCCAAGCTCGCTTTCTAGGACAAAGTGGAACGTATTGTCATTGGTGGGGTTGCTGACCCTGAGGATTATTACCGTAGTGAGTGGCCAGCCCGTTTTAGTCCGATATCTTGAAATCATACCGACGCTTGACGTGCTACAGCCCAGTGGATTACTTCCACCAAAGACAGCGGCAAGACATTACGATGGGTTTTTGAAAGCTGCTTGGAAGCCGGCCCCGAATCCTGCGCTTTCCACGAAGACTCCGTTGAAGCGATGGAAAGCAAACTAAATGACATCTACGCGTCCGTCATCAAAGCCCCAATTCCCATCCAAGGCAGCATCTCCAACGGCATTGTCGACTACAATTATGTGCGAGGAGTATTATCGAATTCCCTCTACCGCCCCTTCTCTGCCTGGCCTGTTTTCGCGAAGGCTCTTCAAGGGTTGAAGGAAAGGAATGCGACTGCAATCTGGTCCGACTCGGAGGTTATTAAGGAGGTTCCGCCATTCGAGTGCGACCGTGACTCGAGCAAATACGAGTTTGAGCACGTTCCCGAAGGGCTCATGGCGTACACTTGCAATGATGGGGACGCAGTTCCTCCCGAGTTTGAGGCAGCGCAAGCCCACTACGAGGCCTCGGCGGACTATTCACCGTTTGGGTCGATCTTTGCGTCGTCCAGGATTGCGTGCAAGTATGTGCTGCTTCATATCATTACTGCCAGTTGACTGAACGACACTTTCTCCGACATCTAGCGGCTGGGGTCGAAGGATATTCCCAAGGCTCAATTCAGAGGTTTGTTCCGGCCTTCAAGCTCCTCATTCATGGCCGAGAAGGCTGAGACCATTCCTTCGTATAGGACCAATTGCTGGAAACACTAGCTTCCCCATGTTGATCATCGGGAACACAGCTGGTATGAACACATTCTCATTCGAGCCTTTCTGGATACTTGATAGTTAGGCTGACGCCCTCGCCCTACCCCCATAGATCCTGTCACCCCTCTCGAGGCGTAAGTTCTAATCGTTCTACACGGCGATTTCTCTGACATCTCACCTCTTTGCCCACAGCGCAACAAATGTATCCTTGGCCTTCCCTGAATCGGTCGTTCTAACGCAAGATTCTCTCGGGGTGAGCCAAAGGCGTT